GCGAGAAAAGAGGCTGGATAGTACGAAGTTTGTCAAACAAGGTGCAAAATAATAGCCCCTAATTTTAAAGCGTTGAAAACATAAAAATCTAATTAATTTATTGATTTAGTTCATATACTGCAAAATTATTTGAAATGGCAAACGAAGGCGTATGAAGCCAGAGAAATATGTTTATCTGCTATATTTACCGTCTACCCGCTGCTCTTCAGTTTATCCGTGATCATGGCGGTAGTAGCACTGCTGGAATCTTATGTATTAATGTTAATCGGGAACTCAATAATAAATAAATAAAACGTGGTAAGATCCCGTGATTTTTACTATTCATACATATAAATAATGACCGCGCCAAATTTAAAATAGTATAGATAGATTTAAAAAAATGATCTGGTCAAGATCGTTGGAAGGGATTGGATGCGAGCAGCGCAGAACCGATCGTCGTGGAGATCTTTGGAGGGTCTTTGTTCAGCAGAGGATGTCTTCCGGGCTGAGATGATGATGATGATGATCAAAGATTTAAAATAGTAATTTCTCCTGATTTTCCTTATATTACCTATTTAAATATGCACATCAACAATTAAATTTATATTATAAACTCTTAGATTCTCTGATTATACGATTGAGTAATAATTTTGTTTCATTTAAGCATATTACATGTCAATTTGCAAATTAATGAGAATTACTCTCAACGAATATTATTTTAGACGTTCAATAAAATTTATAATTTCATTTCTCATAACGGTTGTGTATTCTAGTTGTTATACTTTGTATTCATATATGTCTGTTTTTTTTATTTTATTCACATTTTGTATTCACATTGCCTGCCTTGTAACCTTTACATTATTTTATACGTCACTACTATTATTAAATTAATTTTTTGCTTTACTTTATTGTGAGCCTCTTGAGGCAAATACATATATATAACGGCCACTGTGACGGCTACAAATACCTTTGAATTTTTTTTTTTTATTTTTTTTTTAAATATTGAAAAATGGCAAAAATGATGGCGGCTCTCCGAATTATTTCACCACCTGGTGCATGTCCCGGGACTCGTATTTATACACACTAACACTGTCTGATGTTATTAAATAGTTTACACAGTGAAGTCCTTAGTTTCGTTCACTTTAATTTGCTATTTGAATTAATAATTGAGACAAAGCACTCGCAGCCGCGTTCTCGATCTTGATGTTCAAGCGACAGTGGCGCTCAGTGCGCATGCGGCCGCATGCGTAAACTCTCGAACCAACGTTTGTTCGAGTACAGGTGGGCGGGAGTTTTTAAAATCAAGCCATTATTACAAAACCCAACACTAAGTATTTATATCAGTTACCTTGTACCCATCATACAAGCTTACCGTGGGACTATCGTTTGTGGGACTAGATGGCGCTAATTGTCCAGGGATTATTTATTTATGTATACTTTTGTGATGACTACACACATATATATGTATATAGTCACCAAAAACACATAAGGATACCTTAAAAAAATTTTCCTCGTCAAAATGTTGATACTTGAAGATTTCAATAGCTTATTTCACCTTTATACAAATATAATAGCGTTTTATATAGAATATTTTCACTTCATGAAATTCCATTCAATAATTCAAACTGACTTATGCTTATTATATTTTACTGCTTCGATATTATGATCTATAATACGACACGATACGGTACTATTTCACCTATCCAGTGATTCACCTCCGAGTCTATTAGAAGTTCTGCTATGGCAGGCTTATGTTCATTATTACTTCTTATTGCTTTGATGTTATGGTCCTTAATGCGACGCGATACAGTTTAAAGTGACAGAAATTTAAATTCTAAATTGTTATATTGTACATTAACAAAATTTCGTTCACTAGGAAACTCTTTGGAAAGTCTTGGCAAATGACAAACTTCAGAGACACACAATTCAGAGTTCGTTAACAACCGAGTTACGCGAGAAATCTTTGCACAAAGCAAAGTCAGTTTTGAAATACAAGAATATAATTGAAATTCACACAACAACGAGATGGAGAGGTGTATAAAATTTTACATTCAACTCGGCGAGGTGTAAAATATTAACGTGTTCTTGCATTTTGTTCTTACGATTGGACGCATAATTTGTAAGTTTTGTTTTAATGAGAGTCTTTTGTTCATTGTTCGTTATAGGTATATTTTTCCTTCAATTTCTCCTTCTCAAGTCATTTTCTCCAATCCTAAGGGTCGTAACAACCCCTTAAAATTATTTTTTCACTGATTACATATCTCCATCTGTTTTGGTCTTTTGCAAAATGGGGGCCTTTAAAGAACTGTAGTGGACTTAGTCTGACCAAGTCAGGTCGTCGCTCGTCGCTCCCATCTTATAGTGCTGCACCCTCTATGACGTTTACCATCCACCATCCCTCCTGCCTGTCACCGTCAACTATTTCAAATACAAATATGTCTTTAAAAATATCATGACTATTTCAAACTATGCCATGACTGACCCTATCGGTGTGGGTTGGAATGTTATGAATTTATTGAAATCGATTTTAATGAAACTTTACAGTAACATAGCTTATATATCAGAATAACATAGGCTATAAATTTCATGCGGATAAAACCGCGGGCACAGCTAGTCTAACATAATTATAATTTAAGAAATAACGTTCAAAATATGTATGTATGTTGTCAGTAAGAGATTTTTTTGAGCGATACGACTGCCATTTGTTTGCATATTTTTATATTTTTCTTTTTATTATATATATATTAATTTTTATATTATATTTTTAGTTATTAACTTTATATTATATATATTAATAAAACCGTTTATTATGCATAATAAACGGTTTTATTAATTATTATCATCTTTTCTTTTCTTTTATAAGTCTAAAAGAAGGTAATACTCACACACACGGGCCTTAGCCAAGTGTGGGTGAGGTTGTGCTGTGTGAAGATATTATTGAGGAGGTCAAGAATTTTATTATTATTATCACTAGCTTTCCACCCCCGGCTTCGCCCGCGTGGACTATCGGTTATCGCGCGATTAAAGATACGTGCTCAGTAGTGGAATGTTATATAGCTTAATACCTTCCTCTTGAGTCACTCTATCTATTCTGTCTATTAAAAAAACGTATCAAAATCTGTGTAGTTTTTTATGATCGAAACATACATAGGTATTATTATTATTATTATTTCTTTATATATATATATTATATATCTCCCTTCGATGGGGTAATAGACTTATCATTATCATTATTATTACCTTTCCTTTCTCTTCTATAAATTTAAAATAAGGTAATACTCACCCATACGGGCCTTATTCAGGGGTAAGGTTGTGCTGTGTGAAGATATTATTAAGTAGGTCAAGAATTTTATTATTATTATGATTTTAATCAACAAATCTTAGCTACTTTCGTGTTTCTTCTCATTTGTTGAGTACAAAATCTTGTATTATGTCTGAAGTATTTATATTTGGAGTTCGTCCAAAATACGAGTCGTTCTTTGTAAATATCTCTGCGTACAGGTGATCTCCCTAAGGCATATTTGGACCGTATAGCAAACATGTCACTGCTTCCCACTATTATGATATGTTTGACCTCAATATATAATTTGGATATGTCAATATTTAATTCTTTGCATGTGACACCAACTTTATCATTTATCTAAATATAAGTATATTACTCAAAGTCATGTTAAAATGTCTGACATATGGTCGATCTGGCTCATCCGTCACAACGTACAGCCCAAACCATTAATTGTTTAACCAGTTGGATATATTCGGATTTAATAGAATTAGTGCGGGCACACACTTAAACTTAAAAATGTAAAGTAATAATAAATTATTTAAAAGAGCAACACGCAAGTTTCTTGCTCGTTCTTCTTGTGATGAGACAGCTAACGATGTTATAACGTGCTAAGAAATTTGAATAAATGATTTTCTATTCTATTCTATTTTAGATCTAACAATGAATAAACCACTTGACGGATCGGGCTGAAATTTGGCATGCAGGTAGATGTTATAACGCTAAGAAAGGATTTTGATGAAAATAAAATAGGGGATGAAAGTTTGTATGAAACTTTGTAAATTTTTAACCGATCGGGCTGAGACTTTGCATGCATAAAGCTACTATGACGAAGGCATCCCCTAACAAAGGATTTTGATAAATTCCACTCCTATGGGGATAAATTAATGCGAGCGAAGCCGCGGGCAAAAGCTATTATTAACTATAAATTGACGGTCTCGGTGGTCTAGCGGTTTCACTTCTGATGGTCGCAGGTTCGATTCCTCGCACGGCACAAACATTTGTATTCATGAGTATGATTTGTGTCGGTCTGGGTGTTTCTATGTATAATATGTATGTATTTACAAAAAAAATATATATTTATGTATTTATATCGATTGTCTAGTACCCATAACACAAGCTCTGCTTACCGTGGGATTAGATAACGCTGTGTTAATTGTCCAGGGCTATATATATATCATACTAGCTGTACACGCGACTTCGTCCGCGTGGAATTTAACTTTAATTATCTAAAATAAAAAAGGTAGCCTAAGTTACTTCTTACTACATCAACTACCTGCTAATAAAATTTCCGTCAAAATCGGTCCAGCCAATTCAGAGATTAGCCGGAACAAACAGACAGAAAAAATTGTAATAAATATTATTTTGGTGTATGTACCGTATTTATATTCATATACATGTTGTAAAAAACGGTTATTTCAATATTACAAACAGACCCTCCTAATTTTATTTATATGTATAGATTTACTACACATTATTAATAAAGCTAATCTCTCTCTTTCTTTGTTAATCACTATTAGCTATTTTAGCCAGATTTGATCTGTTAGTCACTTCTAACTTTTTTTTATTTCGCCCGAATTTGAACTCACGACGTTTGGTGTCAAAATTTATTAATATCTACTAAACCACTCAAATAAATTCAATTTTATATCTACAAAGTAAATCCTGCGTTTAATAAATTCGTCAAATTGTTAAAACAAAACGTGTTACACGCTTGACACGGTGTAAAATTTATTTTCAGGTGAACGCTGACCGTACCGAAATTAAATCGACGGAGCGGAAACTGTGCTGAAAAATCGTGAGTGTTAAAATTCATATTACTATCCTACTATCTTGCTGATGTAATTTGCTCGTATATTTAACTAGTTGTTTACCGCGACTTTCTCTGCAATTTTTGTGATAAAATATCATTTATTTCTACGCTAATTTTAACATCCCTTCAGACGTTTAATCGTGAAAAGATAACAAACAGATAGACATACAGTTTCGCAATTATATTAGTACTAGCTACCATCCGCATTAGTGCTAGCTTCGTTTGTAGACCCGGCTTCACACGGGTGTACATATAAACCTTCTTCTTAAATCACTCTATCTGTTACTAAAAACTGCATTAAAATATGTTGTGTAGCTTAAAAGATCTAACCGAACAGATAGCTGAAGTGACTTCATTATATAACTGTAAAGATGGATAAAATTTTATAGAAGGCAAAGTAATACATAATTTTCTACTTTATCTGTCTTTTAAAGTTAGACAGAGATAAAAAAAAATAACAAAGTATACTAAGTATTGCAGGTATGTCTATTTTTATTCTAAACATTACAATTCTGCTTTTTATGGCCAGTCGCAATTTAGTCACCAAATATATATAAACATCAATAACAATAACATACAATTCACACAGCGCCATCTAGTTCCACGCTTAGTAGAGCTGTGTTACCAGCCAACTAACATAAATAATTCTCAATTTGAGTATTTAACTGAATTATTGCTAGTTGGTAGTTTGTATTCACACACTTAAAAATGTAGCAACAAAATTATTTAAAAGAGCAACACGCAAATTCTTGCTCATTCTTCTTGTAATGAAACAGTTTTCAGAATGAACGGTAGATTAAAAAAATTTTTATGACTTTTCAAAAGTGCTTTAATGTAAGTTAATTTGAATAAATGATTTTCTATTCTAATGCGTAGATATATTTTTGTGAGCATATACATAATATAGTCATACATAAAATACAGGTTATTAATACTATTGACACATTTGACGACCTCGGAGGTCTAGCGGTCTAGCACACCGCTTTACGACCGATGGTCGCGGCTTCGATTCCTCGCACGGCACAAACATTTGTATTCATGAGTATGATTGTTTGTATCGGTCTGGGTGTTTTCTATGTATAATATGTATGTATTTACGAAAAAAAAAATCTATGTACTTGTATCAGTTATCTAGTACCCATAACACAAGCTTTAGGTAGCTTAACTTGGGTCTAGATGGCGCTGTGTAAATTGTCCTGAGATTATTATTATTTACCTAAGTTAGGTAAAACCTGAAGTATGCCTTTCCCATTACTAATCTTCAACAGCTTTCTGCTTTTACCCATGGCTCTACCAAGAGCCATGTAGTATTAAGTTCGTCAATTATGCATTTATTTTAAATAGTACTCCACTACTAATGATACTCATGAATACAAATGCTTGTACCGTCAGGGAATCGAACAATTGGAAGTAATCGCTAGACCACCGACACCGTAGAATTTACTTTTAGTTTTTGTCTTTTTCCGTCAAGATATATAGAAATGGGAGGGAAAATACATTACCACATCTGCAGACGCTCTAATGGTGTGTATATGATGTGTGACCATATTCACTTCGTCGCTCTCATATGATATACTGGAATAATGTGAAATATGATAAGTAACTTTCATTCCTACTAATGTTATGCTTGATGACCTGTGTAGTGTAGTGGTTTGACACAGCCTCGTCTTGGATGGTCGCGGGTTTGATAGCATGATACAAATATGTATTTATCAGTATGATTGTTTGTATCGGTCTGGGTATTTTCTATGTATAATATGTAATATATAACATAAAGTTTATTTAGCAGAACTACTCCAATGCTAGCAATGCACCAAATCAGATCGACCTCCACGCGGTTTTATTGGGAATCATCATAAATTCCTTGTGAATTTGTCACGATGGATCACTAACCTAATCGAACCATCTTATTTAGGGCAAGGCAATTCATTAATGCATTTATTTATTTATTATTTTGTACACAAAATTGTATAAATGTCGGACGAAAAAGGCATAACTTTTGACATTCTATGTTCTGTCTGTCTGTCTGTATATTCTGTCAACCGTATCAGAGATAACAAGGCATTCTAAATAGGTTGCTTTGTAATTATTTCGGTTGTAGGGTGCTATTAGACAGTGAATTTTCAGGATAACAGAATGAAATCTTAGTCCTTTGGGATGGTAATTCAGAAGTGGCATTTATTTATTCTTTTCTACCACAAATTGTATACATGGAAGACTTAATGCCTGATGACATCTTCTGCCAGTCAACCGTCGCGCTGATCAGAGATAATAAGGCATTAAGAGGTGTCAAGGTTGTATATATAATACAAAGATGTACATTATATGGTACGTCACGTTATTAAGTGACACCCGATGATGTGACCTTGTGATGTGCTTATCTTGTATATAGACGAAGGTTACCGCTTAGATTAGATTAGATCTTTTAAACTACATAATGGATTTTAATGTAGTTTTTAGCGATAGATAGAGTGATTCAAGAGGACGCTTTATATCTATAACAAATGCTAGCTAGCTAGGGTCATTACTGTTATAAACGCGAAAATTTGTGAGTAAGAATGGATGTTTGTTACACTTTTACGCAGAAACAACTGAACGGATTTTGATGAAACTTTACAGTAATATAGCTTACACATCAGAATAACGTATAAGCTACAAATTACACGCGGGTGAAACAGTTAGTACAAAATAAAACAATATACAGTTTCAACTGTGCTAGAATTTTATTATAAAGATTAATAAAGTGATAACCGTATATATGTCGTTAGAAAGGACTTCGTGGACCTTAGTGTGAATCATTTGGTAGCAAACTGTTGAATAGTTTATCAAACTACACTCCCGAGGACAGTCACTAGGGCAAATGTTTTGCATAAAGCGATCCGAGTCGATTGCTCCGAGCGGCATTACGTACTTGTCGGGTTGTATTGTTTTGTTTTATTTTGTTTTCGAGTTTTATTGTTAAAATTTGGTACTCATGTATAATATATTTATATAAAATGAACAAACATTACTTGTTAATTGTAAACATGCTTACATTTTAGAAAACGACATCATCAGAGATATTGCGTAGAACATACACTATTCGATACATCTAGTAGGACCATAAAAAATATTTATAACTATCCCTTCTTTGTTCGCTAGAAAGGACTTAGTAGATCTTAGTGTGAATAATTTGGCAGCAAACTGTTGAATAGTTTATCAAACTACACTAAGCGATCCGTGTCGATTGCTCCGTGCGGCATTACGTACTTGTCGGATGTATTGTTTTATTTTGTTTTCGAGTTTTATTGTTAAAATTTGGTACTCATGTAGATGACTTTGTTTAAAGTTTACCCAAATATATATTTTTTACTTATGTACAATATAGAGACAGAGAGTAAAAGAACTCGAGGCCGAAGTCCCACTCGATGGTCAGACCAGATATCCCGTCAGCTAAACATTACTGTCAGCGTCGTACTACACCAGGCGTCTGAGCGCAACCGATGGCGACAGCTGATCGACAAGATACTGTAGAGTCGCGATCCTCAGCAGTGAGAGAACGATTAAGAATGTATAATATATGTAATTAACAAAAAAATGTATTTTTTTTTAAATGCTTACATTTTAGAAAGCGACTTCATCAGAGATATTGCGTAGAACATACACTATTCGATACGTCTAGTAGGACCATAAAAAATATTTATAACTATCCCTTCTTTGTTCGCTAGAAAGGACTTAGTGGATCTTAGTGTGAATCATTTGGTAGCAAACTGTTGAATAGTTTATTAAACTACAATCCCGAGTACAGTCACTAGGGCAAATGTTTTGCATAAAGCGATCCGTGTCGATTGCTCCGAGCGGCATTACGTACTTGTCGGGTTGTATTGTTTTGTTTTATTTTGTTTTCGAGTTTTATTTCACTTTTAATTGTTATATACATTTGTCAACATAGTCATCTGCATGAGCATCAATTTGTACCAATTGTGCATTGGTACAAATTCGTACTAACGCAGATGACTTTGTTTACCGTTTACCTTCAACTTGCCCAATATTAATTTAATACGACCTCGGTGGTCTAGTCGCTTAGTACACCAGTTTACTTCCGATGGCCACCGGTTCGTCGCGACGCACAAACATTTATACTTATGAGTATGATTGTTAGTATCGGTATGATTGTATAAATATATGCATATAGTATAATAATATGTAAAATATCTAATTATTTATATATCTATTTAACACAGGATTTGCTTACCTTGTAACCAGATATCGGTATGTAAGTTGTTCTGAGTTATTATTATTATTATTAACTAGCTACTCGTCCCGGCTTCGTCCGGGTGTTCATGTATTATATGTATAAACCTTCCTCTAGAATTACTCTACCTATTGAATAAAACTACTTTAAAATCCGTTTCGTAGCTTTAAAGATATAAGCATACATAAGGACGGACAGACAGCGACAGCGACTTTGTTTTATACTATGTACTGATAAAAGAATTACGAAAATAGTATGCTGCACTGAAGATATTCACTAAATCAGTTAATTAGGTGGTCTTTTCTCATCTCGTCTCATCTCATTACATCTTTCTTTAGCCTATATGTTGAATTATATTTAATAACATATTCTGTGAACAAAAGGCCTAATTTTTCCAGTCATCTAAATATATATAACTCAAAGGTGACTGACATAGTGATCTATCAACGCACAGCCAAAACCACTGGACGGATCGGCCTAAAATTTGGCATGCAGGTAGATGTTATGACGTAGGCATCCTCTAAGAAAGGATTTTGATTAATTCTACCCCCAAGTGGATAAAATAGGGGATGAAAGTTTGTATGAAACTTTGTCAATTTTAAACCGATCGGGCTGAGACTTTGCTTGCATAAAGCTACTAAGACGTAGGCATCCCCTAAGAAAGGATTTTGATAAATTCCACCCCTAAGGGGATAACGCGAGCGAAGCCGCGGGCAAAAGCTAGTTAAATAAAACCCTAATACACAAACAG